TACAACAAGCCATGTGATAGTGGAATTCCCTGGCAGGCTCAAAAAGACAAACAATTTCAAACGCCGATAGTCACAAAGCCCTGGCAGGCTCAAAAGCAAAAAACACACGTTTCACTGGCAGGCTAAAAATAAAATACACCCCCCAGAGTCCCCATAGATCCTCCAACATTTTTTGAACCTGCCAGGGTTTTGTGACTATGGGCTTTAAACATTTTTGTTTTTTGAGCCTGCCTGTGTTTTTGCAGTTTTTGGTCTACACCATCTTGCAAAAACACTGGCAGGCGAAAAAACAAAAAAGTACAACCCCCCAGAGTCGCCATAGATCCTTAAACTTTTGATTCTTTTGAGCCCGCCAGTGCTCTTTTTGACTATGGGCTTTTGAACTTTTTTTTTTGAGAAGTTCTACTTGGACCAGGTTCCTGTGTCCCTGTGAAGTGGGCACCTAGAGAACCTTTTCTTGGTGCGACTGTGCTTAGATTTGATATTCCGTGCCCTTTTGGAACAACTTTTCTGAAAAGAGCGCTTCGTTGGGCCGTTGGGCCACTGCTCTGAAGTGGCCTGTCAATGTAGACCCAGCTCATCCTGAGGACATCTCGTGCCTTGAGCTTTTCATTGATTTTGCAATTAGTTTTGGGACTGTTGCCCCAGTCAATGTGAATCAATGCTCTGGCCCTGGACATAGAGCTATATACGCATTGCCTGATGAAAATTTCTCGGTGCAGGTTGCCTCCGCAACCTTGGCGCAACAATCCAGAGTGTGGATCCGGTTTTTCAAGTGGGTTCTTGCAGTACAAGGTGAGACTAAAGTTTTTCCCGCAAGCTTTGTCAAACATGGCAAACATTTGGACCCGTTAGGCTATAGCTTGTGGTTGCCTGGAGTGGATAGGCGCCCATTGTTGGTTTCTTCCGATAGACCTTTCGAAGTCTCACCCAATCCGGTTCGCGAGCGTTGTTTTGCTAAGGGGTACCCTTTCGCGCATCTTCGGTTTTTACAATTTTTGCCGCGGATATGGTAGAAGAGAAAGGGGCGCCCCCCCAGTAAAAACGGCAAAAAAGACACATTTCGATTTTTGCTGTTTTTTCTTTACTGCGGATATGGTAAATGAAAAGGGGCGCCCCCCGGAAAAAACGGGAAAAAAGAAACAACTAATTAGAATTTTAACATTTTTACCGCAGATATGGTAGAAGAAACAGGGGCGCCCCCCGGTAAAAACAGTAAAAAAGAACAATTCGATTTTTACCGTTTTTACAGCGGATATGGTCTTTAAAGGGGAGCGCCCCCCCGGTAAAAACGGTAAACAAATACACGTTTCGATTTTTACCGCTTTTGCCGCGGAGATGGTAGAAAAGAAAAGGGCGAGTCTACCGGCAAAAACGGGAAATAACAGAACTTTGATTTTTACCGTTTTTACCGCGGATATGGAAGAAGAAAAAGAGCGACTCTCCGTCAAAATGGGAAAACACCAAAAATACTATTTTCAGTTTTTAACGTTTTTTACCGCGAGGATGCCTCGGGAACAGGTCGCAAGCTAGAAGAGCTCTGTAGACAAAAAGGTTTAATGTTACAGCCCTGGGGTATCTTCCCATGAACCTGGTGGGGTTGAACCCTCCTATCATGTAGGAGCGTGTGCCCATTTCGGCAAGAGGAGTTTGATTTCGCGCCCGTGCAGGAAAATAGATAGAGATTTGTTCTCAATTTTTACCGTTTTACCGCGGATATGGTAGAAGAAAAAGGGGCGCCCCCCCGGGTAAAAACGGTAAACGCCAAGTTCGATTTTTACCGTTTCTACCGCGAGGACGCGCCCGCGTGGAAAAACGGTATTTGTTTTTCGATTTTTACCGTTTTTGCCGCGGATATGTTAGTGAAAAAGGGGCGCCCCCCCCGTTAAAGACGGTAAAACAACAACAATTCGATTTTTACCGTTTTACAGCGGATATGGTAGAAGAAAAAGGGTCGCCCCCCCCCGGTAAAGACGACAAAAAAGAACAATTTCGATCTTTACCGTTTTTTACCGCGAGGATGCCTCGGGGGAACCCCGTAACCCGAGCAACACCGCTAAACCAGCACAGCTGTCTTACAGACACTCTTTAGGGCGCCATCTCATAGGCGTACTTTGGATTTCTCCTTTTCGGCCCGCAACTTCGTTGCATCGCCTGTTGTCAGTGTGTAACTTCTTGTTGGCGGAGCGCTCCGTGTGTTCTCACACGGATAATTCTATGCATCCAAGTACAAATTTGTTTGCTGCAAGCCAGACTTAATTATGTGCGCATTGTGCTTTAGGTCCTAGGAGCCCTCTGCCCTTCCCACGCGTGGCTCAATTGTCAGGAGTTTTCGGTTTTGTGAGTGCTTTCCTCTTCCAAAGAGTGCAGAGCCAATGAAATGCTTGATGGTTTTGTCCGCATCTAGGTTCTCATGTCTTCACGGGTGAACTGTGATGCTCTTCCCTTTCTTGGAAAATAGGAAAGACCCACGTTCTTTCCGATGCAACAGCCTCTTGGCTCTTGCTTGTTGGGGCTCGGAAGAACCCCCCAGTGCTGTGCCTTT